GGTACTATAACATAAATACCTGAATATTAAAACTGATTAGTAGTATTTTCCTAATTTTGTTGACAGTTTAAAGCCTGGGATGTTTCATGCAGCTAATAAATATAAGCAGGTTACTGTTTAAAAAAGTTTTTTTTAACGTTTATTTATTTTTGAGACAGAGAGAGACAGAGCATGAACGGGGGAGGGGCAGAGAGAGAGGGAGACACAGAATCTGAAACAGGCTCCAGGCTCTGAGCCATCAGCACAGAGCCCGATTCGGGGCTCAAACTCACAGACCACGAGATCATGACCTGAGCCGAAGTCGGACGCTTGACCAACTGAGCCACCCAGGCGCCCCAGCAGGTTACTGTTTTAAAGACCGCACCTTACTTACTTAAGTAGTGTATAAGTAAGTAGTGTATAAAACATTGAGGAGTATTGGAATATAAACAATGCTGAGGCATATTCCTGGAAGTCATTTGTATGGCTTTGGAAGGGTTAGTAGTAGTGATGCTTTAATTGACTTTTTACATGACAGAGTAGGAGGACATGTAGATCTAAAAAAAAAAAAATCTTAGGTTTGGTAGCAATAGGACTAGGATGAAATTGTTTGAATCTTCTTATTTGAAGGGTAAGAACAAGATTGTACATTAGAAGTGGGTTGGATATTTAAAAATCTTGGTCATAAAAATCATAGTTTACCTTGTTTCGGGTTTTATTAAGAAATGAACCATTACTTAGCTTTATGAGGAGTTTGAGCTGCCTTTATAGTCACAATTCCTCACCAGAGTTCTTGGAAAAATGTTTTCTAAAATCTAAGGACAGGGGCGCCTGGGTGGCGCAGTCGGTTAAGCGTCCGACTTCAGCCAGGTCACGATCTCGCGGTCCGTGAGTTCGAGCCCCGCGTCAGGCTCTGGGCTGATGGCTCAGAGCCTGGAGCCTGTTTCCGATTCTGTGTCTCCCTCTCTCTCTGCCCCTCCCCCGTTCATGCTCTGTCTCTCTCTGTCCCAAAAATAAATAAACGTTGAAAAAAAAAATTTTAAATCTAAGGACAAACTAGTTATTATTTTTTTAATGTTTATTATTTTTAAGAGAGAGAAAGAGAGAGAGACACACACACAAAGTGTGAGCCGGGAAGGGGCAGAGAGAGAGAGGGAGACACAGAATCTGAAGCAGGCTCCGGGATCTGAGCTGTCAGCACAGAGCCCGACGCAGGGCTCGAACTCACAAACCGTGAGATCATGACCTGGGCCGATGTCAGACGCTTAACTGAGGGAGCCACCCAGGCATCCCAAGAAAAACTGGTTATTAATATGGAGAATTACTTAATCTTTCTGTTCTCTGAAAGGAAATTTAATAGCTTTCTTCTGATTTTGTTCCTTGTTTTTGTTTTGCATTAGAAGAAGGTTTTACTGAGCTTCATTTTGCAGGTAGTTAAAGGAAGTTTGAAGGGAGGGGTCTGTTAGCTACATGTATGCCTGTGAATGTCCTATGCCTCCACTTTGATGAGGAGCAATGCTTTTCCTAAGATTAGTTTCACCATGTTTGATTATTTATTCATTCTACCCTTAACTGATTGTGGTTTGTTAAGTATTTCAAATTTCATTAACTTTTTTTAATGGAAGGTTGTTTTTATTTTTTATTTTATTTTTTTTTTAATTTTTTTTTCAACATTTATTTATTTTTGAGACAGAGAGAGACAGAGCATGAACGGGGGAGGGGCAGAGAGAGAGGGAGACACAGAATCGGAAACAGGCTCCAGGCTCTGAGCCATCAGCCCAGAGCCTGACGCGGGGCTCAAACTCACGGACCGCGAGATTGTGACCTGGCTGAAGTCGGATGCTTAACCGACTGCGCCACCCAGGCGCCCCTGGAAGGTTGTTTTTAATTTGGATCACAGCAGTAAAATCTTTTGACTTAGTTTTCAAAATTGCGTTTAAAGCTTGAATTTTTGTAAATGATTTTATTTGATGGAAAGTGATTGGATATGGCTTATAGAATGAAAAAGAATTTATTCTGTTTTTGCTTATTGCACAGACAGATGGACATAAGCTTTATTTGCATAAAGGAAGCTATGATTTTATTGCATTCCAGAACCGGTTTCTGTTTGTTAGAAATAGTCATTTATACTAAGCCTCATAATTGACTACAGTGTAATTTTAGAATTGTGTTTCACATTCTCAAACCTTAAAATTGTGTTTCACGTTCAAACCTTAAGAATACACTTAAATTTTAGTATCGTTAAAATCTGTTCATGAAATATCTGTCCTGGCCAAAGACCACAAAAGAGGTCTTGGTTGTGCGGTTTCCTCCTCGTTTTCCCCTTACTAACAGAGGTTTTCCTATCTTGGCAGCTGTTTCCTACAAGGCAGTCATCAGTCTCTGATTTCTTCCTTCCCTTTCTTCCCACAAACAAGGGCTCTTTCAAATAGCAGATGACCGAAGACAGACTAATCTTGGATCGCTTTAAGAAAGTGGAAATGTGTTCAAGAGTTGTGCTTGTGGGCAAGCAGCCTGTATGCATGTCATTGAAATGAAAATGCTCATTACAAGCAGAACTTGGACAGCTAGAGTTCTTTTTGCTCAAATCAGGAGCATTCCAGAGGCTGACTTCATTTTACTTGTACTAATTAATGTGTCTCATCCACACATTAAAATCATTCTAATTGCTTGATCAGATCATTGAACAATATGGAGGATATAAGAAATTGTTCCTTGATTCGCCTTTTCAGTGTGACGGGCCATGAAATTTTCTGACTTCTCTTTATGCTTTGTATAAAATAGCTTGCAGTTTTAAGGCAGGTACTTTGCCACAGCAGTTGTAAACCACACGTTTACTTTTGGTTTTGTCTTTTGAATAGTCTTTGGGAGTTCTGTGTGAAAAAAGAATAGAAAGATAGCCACTTCTACACAGTTGTGTGCCATGTTTCCCCAGCAGATTAATTTTTGATACGTCATTCTTCTTTTTATATTTTTGGCATTCAGGAGAGGAAGTTTGCTCTTTCCTTTGTTTTTGTCTTATTTCTTTGGACAGACAATCATCTGAAGTGTTCTCAGAACTGGATAATGCCATTTCTGACCCCCTTTGTCATGATACCTAAATGTCTTCAGTAGTTTCATAGAGAGATAAAAAATTGGGCTCTTCTGGGTCATGGAGGGATGTATAGGGAAGCAGTTTTATCTCTGAAATCGTAGGCATGATAAAACAAAATGCTTATTGGAAATACCTTGCTAATTTCATCTATGATTTTATGGATCTTTATATTTAAATACTAGATAAGAGCTTCAGATTAATTTTTTACATTCTTTTTGTTGTGGTTATTGGTAATGCAAGGTAGTGACTTTGTAGTGTGATAAGTATTCCCAACTATTTAGAATATGACTGCTTTTGCATTGAAGTTATATCATAGTGAACTGATAATAGAATATAGTGAACTGATAGTCAAATATAGTAAACTGCTAATAGAACCACATATGATATGTAAAATGTGTAGCAAATGCAGAGTAGCTTAGATAATGTGAAAGAGAACTCCATTGTTATCTAGGAAAATTTTCTAAATTTTCTTTATGCTTTAGTGTCAGCATCTAAATTATGTAAGACTTATTTTTTTATAGATACAACTTCAGAATAAGGGATATTCCCCTTACTACGCTACTCCACTTTTAAAAACTCTTTATCTGCAGCAGATTAAGGATAGATTGAGAAAATTTGTATGAGTATTACTTAGAAGAAAGTTACAGGAAGTTAATATGAAGAAACTGTTAAGATATCTCTTTAAAAGAATATATTTTGTAATTTTTCCACCCTCAAGGCAAGACCAGGAGACTGGATGTATTTGAGAACTGTCTGCATTCTATGTGTATTGTCAGGCTAGTATTTACTCTGATTCCTCTTGCTACCCTAGAAAGAAGTGAAATACTTCAGTAGAACCTATTAGCAAATAACCTGGTCTCATGTGATCCTAGGAACTGAGAAATACTGATTAAGTCATGCACCTTAAGTTTTTGTATTCTTTTCAGTTGAAGAACTGGATTCTAAAGGCCAGTCAGAATTAGACTTGGTTCCAGGTTTTATATTATTTACCTCTCTCCCATTTAAAAAAAAATGTGCGACAACCTTGGAGATCAAATCATCATGGTCTTGAGGTTTTTATTTGGGTCCAGTGGATGGACCAACCTAGTCAAGGATATAGGTTTAATCTTACTAAGATATATTGTGCTATAAAAAATATATATGAAAATCTAAAACGTTAAAATGAAATAGTTAAGAGACAGTTTATTAAACTAGTCCCCGTGTGAATAGCTATAGCAATTTGATACGTGGTGTTTAAGAATGTGGTTCTGGAATGCCATTATTATATAAATTAATGTACACCCATGTGTTAAAAATTGTACATCCTTGTATAGAAAAATAAACTGCTTAATTATATCTTTAATCTGACCCGCAATATAACAGGATAAAATAGTAGATAATATTGCTGTTATCATCAGTAAACACAAAAACATTTATGTATTGATAACATTTTATTAGAGGCTTATATGCTAAAGCTAGTAATTTGATAAAAAGACTGATATGTGGCAAAGGAGACAGGTGTATTTTTCTAGAAGGACTTCCTAAGCTTTTCGGAGAAAAACGGTCATTAGGGATTTACATAACTATTCTATGAATTCATAGGTCATGGTTATCTATAAATGATTTTTTGAGCTTTGATCATTTTCTTTATGTAAAGCTCAGATACCCAGTATGTAGGAGAAGCTCCCATATTGGATATAGAATCAAAATATATACCATTTATCTTTTTATAATTAGGAGGAGACGGGAGGGAGAGACAGAGAGTTGCTGGCTGTTATTATTTTTGCATTTATTTTTTGTGACGTAGCAGGACCATAAGAGTAAATGATGGATTTGTTTGTTTTTCAGATATGACGATCAATGATGCAGACTGCTGGGTTCGATGAAGCTGGGCATTTATAACTAGATTCATTAAGGAATACAAAGAAAATATTTAAAAGGATCAATAATGGTGTCTTCTGGTTGCAGAATGCGAAGTCTGTGGTTTGTCATTATAATCAGCTTCTTACCGAATACAGAAGGTAAGATGCAATTTAAATTTTATTTTTTAAATCTGGGCGAACTTAATTTAAACTATGCAATCTTCTCTACATAGAAGTGGCTAGAATGAGTTTTATTATTTTAAAAAGTAGCTGTTAAAAAGATTTCCCGAAAGTCAAATTCCTTTTTTTGTTAGTTGAATTATTTTCATTACACACAGTTGTAGTACAGAAGAACTAGTGCTAGTAGTCTGAATTTATATTTCACTTACATTTGTATAATATTATTGTAAATAATCCTGAGAAGATGAAAGCTTTGCTTTGGTATATACTTTACACTGACTAAATTTATGCCAGTAAAATTGAAAGTATTTTGTGTCAACTTTTTCATTTCATGTTTTGTTTGCTTCTTGAGTAGAGTTATAGTTTAGGTCTAAAAGTCTTAATTTTTTTTTCATATCTTCTGGAATATGCATTTTTTGTAGTGCTTCATTTTGAATTTTATTTATATCTTTTTGAAGATGGACCTGATTTTTAAAGAAGTGAATATATTTTTGAGGCTTAATTAATCAGAACCATCATTTATTAATTACTATATGGATTTCCTGGTATCCATTATTTCTTTAGTCTTACATACTATTTTCATGTGAAAATAACACCCTTTTAGGTGCTTTTTACAGCGCAGGTCAGAAGTTAATATAGAGCTAAGATATGTTAATTTTATAGCTATTTAGTAGTTATGTATTCAGCGTGAAAATAGATTAATCTTGTAAAATCTGTGAAGAGTACAAAATCCCTGAGACATGCATAGGTTTTATTTGTCCCAATTAAATATCATTGAAGAAAATATTTTCGAATTTTAAAATTGGTTTATATGCACTTTTAAGGGATTCACTTCATACCTACCAACAAAACGATGGGTGGAGAAAAAGAGGCATGGTGTCAACTAGTAGAAGCTTATTTTTCCAGCATCTTTGTGATGAGCTTCAAAGTGTTAACATTTAATTTTGCTGAAAGAATTTTATTTGAATTACTTGTTCCAAAATTATGTCTCATCATTTTCTTCTTGCCCTCCCAGTCCCCTACTTTCAGTCTGTTGACATAACTTAATAATACAATTCAAATAAATAACAAATTTAGAAATATTTTAAAATAAATTCTATATTCAGAAAGTAGATAATGTTCACTTGGATTTAAGTCACACTCAGAAGTTACAACAGGGTTAAGATTCTGTTTTTAGGAGATACTGCTCTGTGCATCAGAATTGAAAGATACATCAAATCTTTTTTTTTTTTTTTTGAAGGATACATCAAATCTAACAGTAAAATGTAGTATGTCTGAGTGAATAGTACCATAATGACAAGCAACAAGCAGAAACTGAGTTTAATAATGTGAATCTCTGGCTTGGATTGTTATGAAAATCTTGTGTATATAGTCCATAATTTTACATCGTTTTTTTTTTTTTCGGGGTGGGGGGGGTGCACTAACTGAATTCCTGCTGTTATGTTTGAATGTTTTTATACATTTAAAAAAGATTCCAGGTGTGGACCAATGGCTCATTAGTCCACATAATGAAAATTTTTCCAATCAAGATAGAGACCACTTTGCTGGCACAGTAGCTTAACTCAGCAGGGGGGCTAGCAAAGAGAGACTGTTTCATGAGATACTGCAGTTTTATTTCTAGTGTCACCTATCAGGTCAAGATTCATATCTGCTGTTAAGAGAAATTTCATTTTTGGCGCATCAGGCCAGGGGGTGTTGCTTTTGAAGCAGTTCCCTCCTACGGGTAAAAAGAACTTAGGAGGAGTCCACACTGCTAGCTGTGACAGTACACGCAGTTAATGCACACTGTTAGAGTACTGATCCAGCATCACATGGTTTTGTCTTAGAAAAGTTTTACATGACATGATAGTCCTTTATTGCCAGAAAGCAGATAATGTTCTGTGAACACCTATAGAGAAACCCAATCAAAGTTAGGTATGAGAACACAGGAAAGGAGTTATAAATTTAACCATTCAGCCATTAAGTTTCTTCAGAGCCCTTTTCAAATCTTACAGAGATGAGCGCTTTTTGTATTAGTTTCCGGATTCGTACAGATAAAACTCAGATAGAGTTTCCTAGATGGTTTCTTCCTTTCTTTCTCATTCATTGAGTGACTAAATTGAGCCAGGTGCTTAAGATTCTGCAGTGCAGGAGGCACAGTTCAGGCTCTTGAGGAGCTCATGGTATTGTGCAGGGCTGGAAACCTCAAGTACCTACGGGGGCCTAGGAGGGGAAGTGACCTGAGTGCAGCTGTCCAGTGGAGGTCTGCAGTAGGCAGGAAAACGCTTGCCGGAGGACCCATGATTGCCATTCCAGTATTTAGCCTGCTTTTGCTTGTCTTCTGGCTTTTCAATATAAACCAGACCTGGATTTTAGGCAATAGTACCTAAATAAGATTAAAACAAAACAAGCCTGTGTATTATATAGGCCTGCCTTTTCAGGGCTTCTATTTTTCCTCCTCTTTACAATAGTGTTTCACCTTAGTATATTATTTTAAAGGCCAAACAATTTTGGATTTATTTTACATCTATATGTATGAGAGGTATATTTCCACATTTGCAAGGACTCATTTGTTTTATATTCAGACGAACATTATAAATATGTCATGTTTTGTGTACATATTAAAGAGCAAGCAAACCACTAAACACTTTTGTTTTTTAAGTTTTACCATGGTAAAGCCTAATTATATAAAGGTTTAATTGCTAGAATTAGCTTATCTCCCTTTATCTCTGTCTTCTGTCAACTAGTGTTTAAGAATCAAGGCTCACCCATTAAATTTACTTGTTTTTGCGAAATAAGAAAAACGCTTTATTTATTCTTAGAGACTCCTCTCCCCTGTGTATTTTTGAAAATTGTTTAGAATTTCCAAATAAAAAATGATTATAAAAGATCAGACTTTGAAAATATTCTGTAGGTTTTTCTTAGAATTGATTTTATTCTTAGAGAACTAATCTCAAACCCTTCAAAAACCAGTTTTGTTGAGAAACTGATGTGCTTTGATTCTTTTGGCCAATTTTTATAAGCAGAGTAACCACTGTGGAATCATGTATCAGTAAGTAGGAAAGTAAATTGAATTTTTGTGTCCTAGAGAATTAAATTATGCTATATAATGGAGCCCTGGCAAGCCTAAGTCAGACATGTGAAGGCTTGCTCAAGTGACAAGTTACAAATAATGGCAGTTCTTCAGCAAAGTCGGTAAAATGGATTTCAGGGTGAATTCTTTATGCAGTGAGTATTTAATTAGATTTCATTAGTCAAAATTTTAGTTAATTAGTTTAAATTTCATTGTTGTTTATCCATATTTCAAGAAAATTATGCCTGGGAGAATGCTAGATATGCAAGATATAACTTCACCTATTCATTGACATGTATCGAGAAAATTTAAGAATACTGCTGTAGAAATAGCGTCTTACCAATTTTAATTGTACTTTTAATTCTCTAAGCATATTTTACAATGACTTTTGTATTAGTGATACCTTACTAAAAATGGTGTTTGGCTGTAGGGTCTTTTTGCTTAGTTGAGTGGCAGAAAAAAAGTAGATCCAGGGGTTAAATATGAAATAAAAACTATTTTGGGCATGTATGTATTTCCTTCGGACTGTTCCATAATTTGGAAGGAATAATTGCTTTTATCCCAAGGTTAAACTTAAGAAAGATGAAAATAATTCAGGCCTTTATTCATTCATTCTTTTATTTACGTACACATATATGAAAAATGTGTAAAATTTATATTCATACACACACTGTGTCAGCATCACAAGGGCAATAATCATTTTTGTTTGTTTATTTCATCAGTGTGCCCAAGTGCCTAGAACAATGCCTGGTTTATAATAGGTACTCATTTTATATCCATTACATAAATAACGGAAATCTTTACAGAGAGTCATAGTCTTAATAGAGAGAGGATAATAAACTGTTGTAATAACAGAGTGGTAAGTGCCATGATGATGATATTCACAGAAGCATTGGGATGAAGGGTAGGTGGATGTGTGGATATATACCAGGAAGGGCTTCTAGCTGTAAGTGAGGATGCTTGAGCTGACTCAGTATGAATTGAATAAGCTATGTCAAGACAGTGGTGAGCGTGGTGGTGGAGAAAAAAATCAATGGAGAACAGTATGGTGTGGAATAAAGTATAATAGTGGTTCTTAGGAACATCAGAAGGTCTGAAGTGGGGCCCAAACATTGCATTTCTCACAACTTTCAGGGTCGATGCTGATGTTGCTTAGTATCACTCTTAACCATTGTCATATTGTCTTTGTGTGGGTGGTTGAGGTGAGGTGTAGGGGTGTAGGGGTGCATGGGTGTGGATATGAAGTCACTTTTTTAAAAGTTTTTGAAAAGAAATTATGAATTCACTGTGATTCAGAAGTAGTAACCAGTTGATTACTGGGATTTACTATTTAATCTTCTCATGTGGCTTTTTATTCGTGTGATCAAGCTCCTTGGGCATAATTTTAGGCTCTAAAAAGGGATTTTCTTTCTCTCTCTCTCTCTCTCTCTCTCTCGACAGTATATTGAGAAGGAAAAAAAATGGAAAAATTGGCTCCAGATTGTAAAAAACAGAACATATTTTCTGTTAAGAGTAAATGTTACATTTTCAGAGCTCCTAAACCCTTGCTTCAATTTATCTCTTCTCATTGTGATAACCTTGTTCTTTTTCTTGTTGGGAATAACTACATGGCCATTGCTATGAAAATGCTGAATTAACTTACTGTAGGGACTTTGGATTTCCCAGTCTAGCAAAATTGACTACTTTTGTTCACTTCAGGATATTTTTGATTAGTTGAAAGCTAGGAGGTAAATTTTCAGCCAGGTATGTGGAGATTTGGCCGTATGACTCCTATTAAACTTAATGGGAGTGAGAACTCCCATTAAATTAATAGGAATTGTACAGCATATCTGTGTTGGCTGCATTTCAAATGTAACCTTAGTTTTTAAATTCACAAGTTATGTAAATTAACAGTGGTTTAAAACAATGCATTGCTTTTTAATAATGA